GAACAAATTCGGTCGAGCCGTTTTTTTTTAATAACAAAAAAAGTAATAAGAAAATGAAAAGATTAGCTATTTAAAATACTTTCAAGTCAAACAATAAGATTTTCATTTGAAAATTGAGTCGATACTGACTAGACATTATTGTTCTCAACCAAATATGACTTTCAACAATTACACATTGTTTATAACAATATGAATTCGTTATAAACAATTACTAATGGGAAGTTCGTCGTGTTGGCACAGACAAAGTGTGCTCACCCGAGTCAAAAAAGTGGGACTCGTTTCATCTTGAAGAAAACTATTTAGACTGACTTTGGTCTGATTTAAACATTCGTTTATTCTACATGTCTCAATTAGTCTTCATAATCCTATTTACATCGAATCTTCACTAGTCTCATTTTATCCTAAATATTTTCAATCATATTAAATTGATTTTATTTTCAATGTTTTCGATCGTACTATCTTCATTTTGTATTCATTTAACATGTCTTTACCTCAAATGTTTTATTTAGTTCTCATGAGCCTTTATTAACCAAATCCCACTTAGTCTCAGATAGGCCTCAATGTTTCTTGTCACACCAGCCTTTTTTTAAACTCATTTTGCTTACTCCATAAAGTCCCAATAACGTTTCATGTATCTCATCCTGTCCTCATTTAATGGACCAAACAATTTTCAAACAGAACTCATTTTTTCCTCAATAACAACAAAATGAGACTTTTTTGAGGACAAAGTGAGATTTAAAAAAAATCTAAACTTCTCAAAAGTCTCAAATTGTCTTAATAATCGAAAACCGCGGATAAAATAAGACTTTTTAGTCCTATAGTCTCAAATATATATTGAAATTCAATTAAAGACTAATTGAAGACAAAATGAGTCCCAATTTTTTGACTTGGGCAGACCTATTTTTATTATTTTCTTTTTTTTTTTTTAAGAATAAAGCTGGTACAGTGATAGAAGAGATTTGTAATAATAAGGAAGGCCTCTTAAGTGTTAAAAAATATTTTGTAACAAGTATAAAATTATATTTTAACCATTAAACATAGTTTTGTTACAGTACAAGAAACATTTATAAATCTCTTCTATCAGTGTAATTTTTGCTCCAGAAAATATCTCTTTGATGTAAGAGAAAAAAAAAAAAAAATCACCAACCTTTTATTCACATCACTGAGCTGGTCAATCAAAAAGAAGGTGACCCAGTTTCAAATCCCAAAACTCTACAAGCTTTTAAGCTTTACCTCACGGTATCAAACTTCTCACCACAGCGGATAGAAAGTTGGAACGCGAACCATGACCTTCCTCATAGAAAAGTCAACTCAGGTTTCTCTCGTGATCAAAATGACCGCCAGTTGGTGATTTTTCAAAGCATTAAACTTTTTGATTAAACTTAATGACAGATTAACTAATTAATCTATTCATTTAAGATGATTGAAGACCAAGAGATAGAAAAAAAAATATTGAATGAAGATGTATAAAAGTAGAATAATATGAAAATATAGACAATGGTTATGTTGGAGAAAGATTATATTACATTATCCACTTTCAGCAGCTTCAGCTTAACGCTGAATCAGGTTGCTATTACTTCGACAGTCACCAGCAGTTCAGAATGTAGACTATGGAGTGGGCTAGACCACATCGTTATTACTAGCAATAAATCGCCACATTTAATAAGAGCTCGCGTACCGGCTTTCACCATCGTTTTCCAGCGACGGCTGGAAGCTCTTTTAGCTTTTAGCTACCCAGAGCCAACTCAGAAAAGCTATGACTGGACCTAGAACCTCCATTCCTATATTTTCTTAAAGAGATTTTGTAAATTATATACAGGGCTTTTTTACAGTTCATTTTGAAATACCATAAATTCTTTGCTTCTTTTGTTCATGGAGAAATTTTACTCCAAAGCTTTGCTCCAGTTTTTTTTAATATACTTTTGGCTACCAGTTTACCAGTGACGTATTTTTTTTTTTTAAATAGCTGGAAATATCTTGTATTTAGCAGAAAAGCTTCTCATGATGATGATGATATTTTTTATAAATTTGATGGAAGCATTTCTTAATTAACAATAAAAATTTATAAAACGAAAATTTGCCTAAAATTTCTTAACTGAATACTCCTCAATTTTAATAACTTTCGAGGCAAATTTGTCAGCGTGAGAAGACATTCCGTAGCGTGATAAATTCGCGCACGATGTTCGTAAGTACGCGAACGTGACACGATGAGCGCGTCGAGAATCTAGCGTAGCATGTCTGCAGCACTAGAATAAGGGTAAAATGTAGAGAGTAAGAGAGAAGTGAGAGAGGAAAGTAGTAACATGAAGTGTAACAGTACAAGAGTACGAAGAGAGAGAAGGTTTAGACACTGAAAATGGCCGGTAGCAGCTGCCTAACCACCCACTTTCCACCCTAACACTTTGCATATTTTACCCAGTTGAGAGTACTAGTGACCTAAATTTTCACAGTGTAAAGTAGAATCAATTCGAGCTTGCTCTCTTTGCTGAATCGGCAACTGATGGATTAGTCTACAGATTCTTTTCACTTCTATCAATATTCAGAGCTTTAATTAAGTTTTCAGAGGAACTTTTTAAAGGATCATGGAAGAATTAATAATTGGAATTCTATATCTTTTTTTCTTATCAACATATCCTCTCTTCTAGCACAAAATGTATCATGGAAATTGAATAAAAAAATGGATCTGTGTCCACACGACGAACTTTCCATTAGAGTTTTCTTCTATTAGTTTCAATGGAAATTTTTTTTCTAATTGTTCATAACAAATGGTAATTGTTGTAAACAATATCCAATGGTCTGAAGTTATATGTAGTGATGAGCAACAATATTTCGTCAATGTTGATCCAATTCATCATCAATAATGATCATTCAATAGCTGGAGACTCTTTTTAATTGATTACAACAAATTGCTATTGTTATAAACAATATGAAATAGGTGAGAGTGATGTGTGGTGATTGAGAAGAGTATTTTGTTAATACAGATCCAATCTGTCAGCAGCAGTCATCACTTGATCGGTGCCAACTATTTTTCATTGTTTATAACTCATTTGACAAGAGTCATGTGTAGTTTGTTGACATTGACCCAATGACATATTAATATTGATCATCCAATAGGTACAAGGTATTTCTAATTCTCCATCACTCTATTTATTTTATACTTTCTTTGTTATCAAAAAAACACCTCGACCGAATTAGTTGAAACTTCTTTCGGATTTTCTTTGTTGCATCATCTTTCGAATAAAATCAGTACAAAGTCGATATCTTCATTCATTCTCGAGATTTCGTGAACGGAAAAAACCCTGACATACCTACAGACATCTTCTTGAAAACTAGTCAACATGGATCTCCCATACTTCAAACCATGGAGACATCATGAAATCATCAAGTTCCAGAAATCAACCTCATTACAATAACTTCCTAATGGTCAATCAATAATGATTTCAATCAAACACCTCGACCAAAATTGTTTATACTCCCTGATAAAAAATTTAAAAAATTGCACTAATTTTTCTAATAATTATTTCATCATCAACGTCCCTAGACATGCTACATCCATTCATCATTCCTTTATTAAAATGATCCTATAAATATTCCACTTATTTCCTGATGATTGATAAATAGTTTTGATTCATCACAAATATTTGATGACAATCTCAACATTAATTATATCTCCTTTATTTCTTTGAACATTAAATTATCAATCAGAGTCAAGCGAAGTCATATCACTTCTTTTCTATTTCAATCTGATGTTAATTTTTTGTTGATGATTGAGTTCTCCTTGGCTTTCGGTACCTTAAAAGGCACTAGTACACATAAAAATGTCCAAATCAGCCTCTAAATCAATCCAATCGTCTCTTTTATTCATTCAAGGTCACGATGTCTTGATCAATAATTCATAGCTTCATTACTAATGGATGGCCACTTAAATAATTCGCTCGTGTGTATGTTTAACCCTTTGAACAGGTGACCTCAAACTTAGATATCATGAGAGAATACAAGTTACTTCAAAGAAGAAGAAGGAAAAAAACACCTATCCGCAATCCATTTAAGCTCTACTTTCACTGTGGGAAAGCACCTGCTGTCTTTGACTCCAGTTACACTTTTACTTTCGATGATATCTTAGTTTCTTTTCCTGATGCCTCTGATAGCAATGACGCATGGAGTTCTTGGAGAAAGAAATGTTAAGTCAGAGATGGCTTGGCATGTCATGACAAAAATTCCCCTAAAATTAGTCAAACATCTGGAAGTTGATGGTAGGCTTGTTGACAGGTTTAATAGAAGAATGCTAGAAGGAGGAAAGAGTTGGGTGGGTCTTGATCACTTAGAAAGGAAATTAGAGAAGAATTCTTTTATCATATAGATGTTTAACATTGGATTACATTGCTTGCATTATTTTAAATAAATTAGTTTAATTTAATTCGTTGAAATTTTCATGAAACAATTATTCTTCAGCTTTTGATCTCCAATACATGGAATTAAAATAATTAATAAACCATTTTAAAGACTTGGGATGATGAAAAAAATTTATCCTAAAGGTTTTTTGGTAGCTAAACTCATCAATAATATTCGATTATTTCAAGCGGAAGTGAATCTAAATCATCTGATAAACGAAAGTAAACTACAGTTAGAGAGTAGACCACCCGTACTTTAGCCAATTAGTTGCCACCTGGACCAAAAACTCTGCTTATCCCAATTAGAACTGTCTGCTAAGCGTCGCAAACTGGGCGGTCTCTTGAGAAGCTATCGAGAAATATATAGAAGCGAAAACCTGATGATTATTTACAGAACATACGAGATTACATTTCTAATCTATTTTTATACGTTAGTTCGTGTTTATGGTGCTCTTGAGGCTTTTCATTAGTCACTTGGGTCTTGTCAAAATTCAAAGGCCTGTCAAAATGCTGAAATTTCATACTTGGAATTGCTAAATCATTTTTTTTTTTTTTCATCTTCCTCAAAAGCACCAGGGAATTTAAAGTTGGAAAAAAATATCCTTCTAATGATTATAGAATTATTAAAAATTTTATTTGTTATTTAAAAACTGTACATGTTGAGTTTCTAATGTTAATCTTTATTATCAGATCATTTTAGAAGTGACTTCTTCCTCTTCAGAAGTCCTTTTTCCATTCTCAATAGGTGGTTTACCATCAGGATAATTCCAGTCTTGAATTTTAGCAGATCCAAAGATTGTAAATATTATAAATGCAAGTACTTGAGCAACTACACTGATCCAGAAGACGTATCTCCATCGTTCAAAAGTGTTATTCTGTCGAATAAAACATAAATCATTATTTATTACTGGTTAATAAACAATTTTTTTAAGTAATCTTTGCTAATTTTCCTGGTGGTTTGGAAGATAATGAATATGTTTGCATGTTTTTGAAGAACTTAGATAGCTATTTGCTTGATAAAAATGTGAATTTATTGGTAATTAATTCTTCAAAAACATAACACAAGTTATTACCAATAAAAATGTAAACATAATTATGATAAAATAATAATCATTAACATGAGGAAAACAATTAATTCAAATCATTAAAAAATAACACTTGGATTAAAGATAAACATTTTCCTTAATTAATATTATTCATTAATAAACACGTTTATAATTATTTATCTTTGACTGTTGATTTTAAAATGAAATGCTAGAGATATTTTGTTGATGAAAATAATTAAAATGAAGTAAAGAGGAAATAGGTTGATTGTACTTGAGAAAGGTAAACTGGAGTGGAGAATAAATAAGAAATATTGATAGAAACTTACCCCATTATCAGTTAGAGCACCAACAAGTCCTGGTAATACAAAAGCAGATATAGTTCCAGGTGTGTTTGTGATGCCCATCAGAATGCCAGCATAATTAGGTGCTAAGTCATTCTGATTCGTCAAATGACCAACAAATATTGCACCACCAATTACGATGCTTAAAATAAGGAGAGCCACTGAAGTAGTACGTTCACATCCAAGGTAGGCGATGACAATCATCAGAATACTTGGAGGAATACAACCTGATTTGATAGGATAATTGATGAATATCATTGATAGTCATTGGGTTATTGAATGAGGCTGTAAATGATCTACTTACTGATACCAACAGCAACTTTCCTTCCAGCTGTTTGTGACCAGTAGCCTTTTTGACGACCAATGTCAAGGACTTTTCCAATCAGAGGGTTTGTTATAGCATTTATTAAGTATGGAATACAACTTAGTACAGCATTCTTGGAATAGAAATTAAAAATGTTAATTGTATAAAAGGGGAATCAATTTGATAGGTTTTTTGCTAAATTCCCTAGTCAATCTTTAAAAATCTATATCTTGGTGAAAAATTATCAGATTTTTATCAACTAAAGCTCATTTTAAAGCTTGTTTTCTCTTCTTTAAAACCCAGGTTCCAGAAAAAAAATTGACTCTACTTAGTTTCATAGGAAAAAATTAAAAAGAAAGGATAGAGGAACATGGTTGATTGAAAGCAATCATTGGTGATATTGTGTTCAAGAAAATGAATAGAATATTGGATTGAATGTGTGAAGAAGTGTTGGTTGATTGGCTAACTTACCTTTCTGATGTCAAACCTCAGCACGGCATTCATATAACGTGGCAATGTTGTGAGCATGAAATACCAGATGAAATTGCCTAGACAATTGGTAGCAACTAATGCCCAGAAGGGTGTAGATGTGAAGATACTCCTCCAAGGAACAACGGGTTTCTTGGTTTGTAAGTGTCGATGACCATAAGAATTGACAATCAAGTCTCTTTCAGCAGTGCTTATCAACTTCTGGGTTTCCGGATTATCGGCAAAGAACACAGCAAATGCGATGCACCAAATGAGTGGTAAAATACCGTGAATATAAAACACAGCTTCCCATCCGAAATCGTGCATAATAAGACCTGATGAGAGGATAGAAATGACAGTTCCTAGTGATGTTCCAGCATTGATGATTGCTACCCAGGTACTCTTCTCTTCATAGACCATCCATTTGCCCACTAGCACATTCACCACTGGAAGATTAGCTGCACTTACTAGACCAGTTAGGAAGCGTAGGAATAAAAGTACCCCAATTGATTGAGCCGCTACGGGTATCAATAGGGTGAAAATTGAACTGCTGAATACGGAGATTAGCAAGACCCACTTGGTATTGAATCTAAAAATATTTTATCAAGTATCTTTTAATCATTCAACCCAATCTTATCTTGCTCCAACAATCATCAACACATCCTAGCTTATTAAAAATACTATAATTATCTCCAACATCAATCTATTTTTATTACCAAACTCAGGATAGTATCAAAAGACATCTAGACCTTTTAAATATTGGTGATCATTTTTCTTGGTTGATAAAAGTCCAGGAATAGTAGGATAAAATTTTGAAATTAATTAACAACTCAATTAACTTTAATCAACAAAGTATCCACAAACCTATCAGCAAAATATCCTGCTGGAAACATGCCCAGCATGTAGCCAGCAAAGTAAAGGCTGACAACTAGACCTTGTTCCACAGATGTCCACTCGTAAGGACCCTCGAGGTCAGTCGGTGTACTTGTCATGTTCCCATTCTCAAATTCCGGACATTCTAACGATTGAGTACTCGTGCCATTTTTATTTAATTTAACCATCCCTATTATCGTCGTTGATATGTTTACTTTTAACCCATATATTATCATATTTGCAATGCACAGCATTATTGCAAACATAAATCTAACGTATCCTGCTGTGGAAAATATTATTAAATAAATTATTTATCAATTAAAAATAATTAATTGATGATTAATAATACCAATTAATTGAACCTAATTAACTAATTGATAAAATAAATATTAACAATTAAACTTACCCATAATTAATGATTTTTTGAGCACTGAATAATTTAAAATTGAAGAGTATAAAATATTATTAAACACTTGATATATAAAATAATGATATGAAAATAAATAATTATTTTCTATTTATAAAAATAGTTATATATTTTTATAGATTAATCATTTTAATTACAAGGCTATATGATAACTGATTATATCAACTGAATTATGCCACTTGTTTTTTAAAGTGTAACAAACAAAATAATTATAAATATGTGAACAAGAAAAAAAACAATAACAACAACAACAACGTTAACTTCATTCAACTCATTTATTGATTTTTCTTTTAGAACACACGTCACAACACTAGCCGACACAACTGCTTTTATTCTCTCAGCTGTTATCCATTTTCGAAACTATTTAATTTGTTGATAAAATAATTATTTAAATAATTAATTTATTCAGAAAATAAATTATCAATTGTTTTAATGGTAATTCTTTTTCTTTTCTTTTTTTTTTTTTACAATAAAATTCTTGAATTCGTTCCAACCTCACTCAGAGAATTGTTGTCATTAAATGCCAACGGTTTTTTGATTATTTAGGTTAAAACCATATGAACTCTCTTATGTGTGTCGTCACAATATCGTCACTGTTCCAATCGAAGTCAACTGCCAGTGAACCAAAGCTTGTAGCGTATTAACAAAGAGTGGAAGTGAGATAAAAAATACTGAAATTGTGCTATAGGCTAGGGAGTTATCACAACCGGTTTTACAGGAATTTCTTATCGTCGTCAAACTGTTTAAGTTTTGTCTGTTAGATTCTGATTTGCTTGACCTTGGATATTTAAATGCACTTAATGCAGGTTTAATTGATTATCGACATCTTTTTGGATACATCTGAATGCTATCTTGAAATAATTATTAAATAATTAATCCTTAGTTTTTATTTATTTCAATACATTTTAGCAATTAATTATTAATAATAATTGATGGATTATTTCAATGATTATCAATCGGATAAATAAATTAAATAATTATTTGATTATTTAATTGAAGATTGAATATTTATTTATTTTAATTTATTTTGAATAATTAAATGGGTTTAGTAGCATGAACAAAATTAAGGCCATTGATATTAACAATAAGTTGTTTAATGAAGGAATGCAAGAGAATAAATATTAGATAATTAAATGTGAACATGATCGATGATCTGAATATTTAGCCATCACTTAGAAATATTTTCAACATATTTTACATATTGTTTTTTTTTTTAATAATTCCATTTATTTATTCTTACAGTATTTTATTGAGTCATTCACATTATTCGATTTAATTTATATTATTTTATTAATTGCAATATTTTGGGGGTCCACCACCCAATTCTGTTCCCTCTTCTCTGTCCTTACCATTTCTCCCATCGCTTCTGCTCTTGCGCCTCTTTCTCGCGCCCTCCCACTCCCTCCATCATCCGCCTCTGTCTGCATCCAGCTTCATGGGGTTTGCCTCAATAGGTTCTATCCAACCCTTCCTTACCCTCCCTTCCTTCCCCTCCCTGCGTTCCTTTCCTTTTCCTTCCTCTCACTCCCCCCTCTCCTCCCGATCCCTCTTTCTCTATCCCCGCTCTCATCTCCGACCTCTTCCTGCCACTTCCATAACGCCCCCGCCCTTTTATTCTTCCTCCTTTACCCTTTGTCTTTCTTTTCTCAGCCCATATACCTGCTACTTCACCTTCCACTACTCGTTCTTTGTCCACCTTTCTCCTTCCCCTCGCGGCTTCTTCCCACTGCTACTTATCCTTCTACTCCTCTGCGTTTCAGTGCCCCTCCCTACCTCGCCTATCCTTCTTCTTGTTCTATCCATCTCCCCCCTTTTTTTTCCGTCCCAAGCGGCCTGGGGTATCCCGTCTTTTTTTTTTTTAATCTTCGTCAGCCACATGCTCACGTTGTGTGGTTCGTAATCCCGTTCTTTCTTCCTGTCATCCTCTCCTTCGCCCTCCTGCTCTTCTCCCGTGCCGGGGCACGTTTCCTTCTGCATCGCACTGCTCCCCTTTCGTGCGGCCCCCCTCCCTCGTCCTTTTCCTTCCAACGTCGCCCCTCTGGCCCGTGCAACTCTTCCCTCCTCTCCGTGACTGGCCCCCCAATAATTGCTCGATTTTTCGGCTCGTTAATCGTGCTGACCCCCTTGCCTGATTGTCATTTCTTTCCTCACCCTAAACTATTTTCACTCCCCACTTAGCACCAACTATCATTACGTTCCCGGTGATCTTTTTTGAGAATAGAAAAAAAAACACTTTTTTTAAATCAAATCAGAATAGTTAGCTTTTTTTAGATAAAATATTTTCTTAATCAGGAAAAGATTTGTAACCAAGATAAAATTTATTATCTCACACTAAAGAGTTATGTCGTCAACTATAGTTATATTAATCTCTTGATAAGTTGAAAAGAATTTATAAATAATAGTTCCCATTTTTTTTCTTTTTCTTGTTTTATGAAAAAAAATTAACTGATAATTGAATCGATAACTTGATTACACAATTAATCATAAAATAAGAGTCTTAATATTATAATTAAATTTCAGATTAAATTAAAATTACTTTTGATCGATTCTGATTCGTTGGTCTTTTAGATAATTAGAATTTTACAGTTAAATTATTTCCATGACCCAAGAGTTATATTTGCACATATAGATGGATTTATATACATTCAGTGTGAAATGTTTAAGCGAATAAATCGAAAGTCAACGTCACTGTATTTGTAAATATTAATATCACAGTTGTTTGAAAATTAGTCATGCAAGTTTATTGACCTCATTATCGTACACTTTGTGTTTTAATTAACTGTCTATGGACATTCAATTAATTCCACTAAAGTCGTTAAAGAAAAAATCTTTCATTTTTATCATTTAATTATTGTTATTTTTATTATTATTATTATTTATTAAAAATTATTGCAATAAACAAATTTTTTTAAATAATTCTAGATAAATTAATTAATTCATTTATAATTTAAAAAATTAATTAAACAAAAATTATTAAATATTTTACATAAATAAATATTTAAACCCATAAAAATATTAGAAATCTTAAATTCACACTTTTTTAATTTTTTTTTTTTAATTTACTGTAAAATAAAACAATTGTAAAGAGATTTTAAAAATCTCGATTTTTTATTGCCAAAAAAATGGATGATCGTGAAAGTGTATTATTGTCATTAATAATTATTTATAATTTAATTTATTTAAAATTATTATAATAAATCAAGTTTGAAAGAAAAAATCTTTCATTTTTATCATTCAATTATTTTTATTATTATTATTATTTATTAAAAATTTTTGTAATAAAAAAATTTTTTTTAATTATTCTAGATAAATTAATTAATTAATTAATAATTTAAAAAAATTAATTAATATTTTACACAAATAAATATCTAAACCCATAAAAATATTAGAAATCTTAAATTCACACTTTTTTAATTTTTTTTTTTTTAGTTTGCTGTGAAATAAAACAATTGTAAAAATATTTTAAAAATCTTGATTTTTTATTGCCAAAAAAATGGATGATCTCGAAAGTGTATTATTGTCATTAATTATTATTTATAATTCTATTTATTTAAAATTATTATGATAAATCGTGTTTGAATAATAACTATTATTATTATTATAAGTTAATTTTATTTATTATTAAATTTATCAATGAATTGACAAAAAAATAATAAATAATTGATAAAAATGAATGAAATAATTTTTTTAAATTTAAAGTAATTTGTACCATTTATTTTTAGAGTCGTGTACCAGTGGCATTAAACTTTTTTAAAATTATTATCATTATTTTAGTTAGTTAAAACGATAGTGTCAACACAAAGACTGACGAATGGAATATGAAATATGGTGGGTATTATGCTGATATACATGCGCATTAATTACGTCAGATAAGTTGCTTCTGACAACTACTTATAGATTCTCTAGTGACTATAACAAAGTGGGCTTCTTCTTCTCAACTATTATCATTTCATTTCTCTTATATTATTCTTTATCCTTATTTATTTAGAAAAATTCCTCGTCATATTTTTTTATGATAATCTCTCCAATCTTATGCTAATTTTGGTCGAACAAAAATATTTGATAAAAATAGTCAAATTTATCTAATTAATATTTATTTATTTTTATCAGTTGAGTTGTAAGATTTTTCTTTGTTATTCATAAATGGTCATTGAAGTTTTATTAAATATTGTTGATAAGAAATTTATGAATGCATCTTATCATCATTTTTTGCTTGATAAAGTTAAATAGTGTAGTTTAAATGTTGGTTTTAATAGAGAAATAGGGCGTTAAATGTATTAATGCCCATTAAAATAATCATTTTTATTAGATAAAAGCTTTTAAGAATTGTATTTTACATTTTTAGCTTCATTGTTCTTAATCTGATAATTTTTAAATTTATTAAACGAGGGATTTAAAAATAACAATAATGAAAATAAAATAAAATTAATATTAAAATTATTAATAAACCTGTTTAAATATTTGTTAAAAATTTATTTACAACAATTAATCTATTGATAATATACTGAATAAATCAAAAATGTTCACTAAAATATAATTTTATTCCAATTATAACTTTTAAAATATTTACAACATCATAAAACTGTTGTATTGTAATGAATTAATTATTAGTACTTAAATATAATATTACATGAAGTAGTTTACAAATTAATATTGAAGGTCTGATGAACGGAGACTCGATGCAGACTTATTGAAAAATAAATCAATGAATATTCACTATTTTAAGTGATAATAATAGCACTAATTTAAACAGTGATAATTTTATAACTGTAAATTAGTGTATTGCTCCATCTTTGTTAATTAATAATTTGAATTCTAATTGCTCTAATTAATTTTTATTGATATATTAATAAAAAATGAGTAAATAATAATAATAAAAATTAATAAAATGATAAATAAATATAAATAAATAAACGAATAAATAAATCAGTAAATGAAAATAAATAAATAATATAATAGATAAATAAGTAAATAGTAATAATTATTACTTTAAGTGTTTTGAATTAAAACACTACGTTTTACAGTGTAGAGTCTTTTCATAAACATAAGTCTAAAAAATATTAAGTTTATTTCTACATCAATAAAATGGAAAATTAATTTATTTTGTATATATTCCAACAGATAAATTAATAACAAAAAAAAAATAGTTTAACTTGATTTATTTAACTATCTAAAGAATAATTTCTGCTCTCCAACAATTTCCTTTAAACTCACTAGAACATTTAAATTAAAATAATTAAAAGCTCATTTTTAAAATAAATTTTTTTAAATTACTTATTTATTTAAATATTTACATAGGCCCAACTAGGGCCACAGATAAGTAGTAATAATATTTACATGAGTAGAAAAAAAAATGAAACAATAATAAAGCAAACATGAGGTTCATTTTTATAATTATAATTAATAAATAATTATAAAAATAATAAAAACTCATTTAATAATTTGCTACACTCGAAAAAGAGATGTTATTAAATATTATTAAATAGCAATAAAATATAAAAATTCATAATTAGTTAACATATTAATATTTTTATTGATTAATTAAATATACTAGTGTCTTTAAATTCATGATTAAAAATTTTCCATTACCAAAAAAAAAAAGTAGTTTAAAATATGATTGAAAGAACTTTGTTGAAATTACGTAACTTGACGATGGAGAAATACCCTTAGATACTTGGGTATGAGCAGCAATAAAACGTTTGTTTGATCGTTAAATTTACACAGTCACACTACCAACGATACAATATATACACACGTGAGATATACATTGAGTAGTAGCATATCCATTATAGACTTAAACTTACAACCATTATGAAGTAGTGAATG